ATAGGTAAAAATTTTGTTCTACGAAAATAAGTTTCTAGTAAAGATCTATGTATATATAAAATTTCAGCTTTCTATCTTCAAGGGTGTAGAAGTTTTGTAAACAGACACACGGACAGACGGACGGACGGACGGACGGACGGACGGACGGACGGACGGACGGACGGACGGACGGACGGACGGACGGACGGACGGACAGAGTGAAACTAATAAGCACTTTTTTCAAAAAATTTTTTGGAAAAGTGCTAAAAAGGGAGAGAGAAAAAAAAAGAGAAATTTGAATGATGAATTTTGTTTTTCGTGTAAAAATAAATCAATCAATTAAGGGCAAAATGTAAAAAAAAAAAAAAAATTGTTCATTTTGTACCGAAAAATTATTTTGAATTTTTTGAAAAATATTAACAGAATGACATTTGGCTCATTTTAAAATATCAAAGAAATTCAGCTCATTTTATTTTATTTAAGAGAATTTTTACTCAGAGTGATTAAAAACAAAATTAAATTCCTGCCATACAATATTTTTGTTCTATTTGTAAAAAAAAAGAGGTACTTACAGTTCTTTTGTCACATCTTATACCAGCTACTTATTATTGCCCACAAAATATTTTTAATATCAGTATTCAAATAACTTACAATGTGTTTAGAAATTGTGTTCAAAATGTTAGAATAGCTCAGTGAAGAGCACTCTAATAGAAATTTAAAATTTATTTTTTTCACGAATAAAATCAAGAAAAAAATAATCAAAACAAAAGCCGAAAACACTTTATTGCTTCTGTTACCTCGCCAACACCATTATATGTATATGCATTTCAAAATTACATTATAATTTTCGAAAATGGACTCTTTACACTATTAAAAATATTGTGTTTTGTTATTTTTTTAATTTTGGAAAAAATTGTGTGTGGCGTTTATATACGCATGTTATATATATGTAGTTATACGAATATTATAGAAACTATATTATAATATTCGTATAACACACAAAATAAAAATTAAAAATAAAATTAATTTTTTTTTTTTAAAAAATAGAATAAATAAATTCACTGGTGTTGTTTTTTTTTGACATGAGACAATTTTGTAAATAAGCATAGTTTTTTTTTTTTATATAGGATCATACCTACTTTATCAAATTGTATATATGTGTGTAAATATGTATGTATGAAAAAAAATTGTGATTCAAATATAATAAATAATAATATAAAATAAATTTGGTAAATTGATTTAAATTAGTTTTCTCTCTATTGTTGTTTTGTTCCTTTTTTTTATTTTGTCATATTGTGGCAATGTTTTAGTTTATGTTGTGCCTGTGCTGTGCGTTTAAAAATGAGAGAAGAGAATTTTTTTTTTGTTTTATTTTTATTTTTATTGTATCATAAATTAAGATGCATTTACATGCATTTTGGGATAGTTGTAATACTAAAATATAGTTCTCTTAACTTTTTTTTTTACATAGGGCATTATTTGGTGATAGACGATTATGTCGTATAGTTTTTTTAATTAATTAGTGGAAAATTATTGTGGAGTAATAATATATGTAAAAATATACATTTAAATAAATGTTTAATTTATAGGATGCTTGTATATTATTCATATACTCTAAATTTTTACAAAATCTCTGATAAAATTATATAGTGGATTATGATGCTCCATTCGTATAAGTAATGTGAAAGTAAATGTTTTTGTTAACTGAATGTGAAAAAAGTAAATTTAAAAAACTTGTAGCCATTTGAAATAATTTCATAAAAATGTGAGGTAAAAAATTGTTTTTTTTCAGTTTTGTGTTTATAAGCAAAAATTGCCTCGAGAGAAGTTGGGCATAATTCTAAATTTTTGTAAACTTAAATTTTCTATAATTTATTCTACATCCTGGAAACATTTTAATAGTATGTATACCTACTTGATTAGTTTCGAACTTGCGAGTACATAAACTTTAACTAAAGTAGAAATTTCTAAAAGAATTTAAAAAAATATTTACAAGAGCAAATAAATTAATAAATTTTTAAAAGTGAGCTTTATCTTATAATTATATTAACATATTTTTAAATAACACAGTCTTTCAAGAAAAATAAAATTTATTTATCATAGAATATAAATTCAATTATTTAGTGATAAAGTATTTTAAACGAAATCATTACTTTTTGTAAACCAAAACACTTAGAAATTAAGTACTTATTATTGTTTATTGCAAACATAATTCATTCAAAGTATTCTTATGTTTCCAGGATGTTAGAACCAAAAATAATATAATTTTCAATAAAAGCACAAAATTATTTCCTTTTTAACATTTCTGATTCTAATCAGAATGTTTTTTTTTCCTTGTATTCCATTAAAACATTCTAATTAATTTCAAAAATGTTACAAGCAGATAACAGGAATACATGTATGTTTCTGTATATTAACACTAATATATATATACGTACATATAAATATAAATTATGTTTATTTATATGCATGTATTTTATGTTCAATTAAATGTAGCTATATTTGTAAAAACAACATACCGGTGTGAACGCAACCTTAATATTTATTATATTAAAATTATTAGGTAGGTATATAAATAAATTCGTAAATATTACTATTTCACCGACCACATATTTCAAATAAAAAAAGGGGAGGTATGTTTTAAACAAGGAAATTCATGCATTCAAGTACATATAAATGAATTATTTTTATGGAGATGTGTCAATCTGTACGTCTTTGTCTTTCAAGTATGACTGAAACATCAGGAGTAAGGATAAGAATTACGTCTCCCGAACTTGATCTTTCCTAAGAGTCGATTTCACAGTTTTGAATATATTCAATCAGGCGAAACTTTTAGGATGCAGACAAGGTTTTTAAAAACACTAGATATAGGGGTCGCTAACTGGCCCTTTATTGCGGCCCGATATTTTACAATTTCCACTATATATGTATATCTAAAGCAACAATCAACAGAATTTCTTGAAACTTAATATTTTGAAATCTGTTTGCTTTTTCAACTTGTTCTAGAGAATTAGAATTCAGAATATAAACCCTTAGTGAGGATCAAATTTCGACTTTTTAACCTGAAAATTTTAACTAAAAAGTTCCTAATCCTGTTAAAATTTTAAACAGTGTACACATTTTTATATTTAAATTCGGAAATACTAGAAGTCAGATATTTTCATCACATGTGATCAAATATGTGCTAAGCACATCAATTTTTTTTTTTATATTTATTTAGTACGCGTTATTATAATTTTTATTTTTATGTTTATAAATAAAAATAATTTGAAAAAAAACAAAACAAAACAGGAGAGAAAAAAAGTGTGACCGGACAAAATATTATAAAATAAATCAAGAAATTTCCTATTTACAAAACATACAGGGTCCGGCACATATATACATACGTACATACATACATACATTCTTCAATACAAATTTCTATGTAGAATAACATTATCGTATTAAATATAGTGTATTTTTTCTCTTTTCTCTATATAAAAAAAAGCCTAAAAAATGAAAATTAAATTAAGAAATTTAAAAAAAATACGAAGAAAAAAGCAAAATAAAAAATAAAATTAATTTTTTTGTTTTCTTATTAAAAAATTTTTTCATTCTTTAAAAAATATTTTCCAATTTTCTTTTATATTTTTTTTTTTTGCGTTTTTTTTTTTACTTTTTTATTGGATCTTTAATTTTATATATAAAATTTTCTATATATACATACATAATATTTTTTTAAAACATAATATTGTATTGTTTAAAAACTAAAACTAAAAAAAAAACATAAAATGTTGCGAAATCGACAAAAAACATACATGCATACATACATACATACGTTCATATAAATATACCACTTAAAATTTACTTTATTACAGAGATTAATATTATGCCTAAGTTGTAAAAGTAATCATGTAGTGTATATTCCAATGTACACAGCACATACAATATAATATACAATATAAATACATATTTTACTACATATAATATACATATATAAAATAAAATTATACTACAATATATAAATAAATTAAAATGTAAAAAAAAAACAAAATGTTATACAAAGAAATTTTGGTTTTCTTGTTCGAATAGTGTTTAATGGGAACTTTAAAGTGCATTTTCAAAAAAAGAAAATAAAATAAAGAAAAAAATAATATATATGTAAATCAAAAATTATATTGTTATATACTGTTATAAAATATTATATGAAAAATATAAAGTTTTTCGATTTTGTTATATTGTGTGTTCATATATAAAATAAAATGTTGATACTGAAAGAACAAGTGAATTAATTTGAAATTTTTTCATCAAAAAAAAAAATATTTTGTTAAATTATTTTTTTAAAATTAATGTTTCATGTTTTATAATACAATACCCAAAAAAAAAAAAATGTAAAATATTAAAAATTGTTGTAGCATGTTTTACAAGTTTAAAATTTAAAAAAAAAAAAATTAAATATTTCCAAACATTACCTACATATAGTTAGTACATAAAAAGTGCCATCAAATAATTTGTAATAAGTAATTAATTTCTTTAGTTCAAAAGTGTTATACAATTACATTTAATCTAAAACACTATCTTCCATTTTATATCCTAATATAATATTTGTTATAATAATATGAACCTGTTCAAATTCTATTTAATATTTTATTTGAAATAAGCAAAAATATACATTTAATATATTATTATGTACAATATAACTAAAATATAATATATAATATAAAGTATATAGAATAAATATTAAACTAAATCGAAATTACTATAACTTGTTACAGTGTAGGTGGGTTAAATTTCAAGAATAATAATAATAATAACATTATAGAAAATAATAACATACATGAGAACAACACTGTTTATATGAGAAAAATATTGTTTATAGCTATATGTGAGAAAACAAAAATTATAATATTATTTTCTCTTTCAACATAATATACGAGTAGTAGGTAAAAATGTAGTTCAACAGTTGCATTACTCGTTAAAACAAAAAATTGAGTATGTTGAAATTTATATTTAAGAAAATTATTTTAAATACAACATGTTGAATATTATTAAAATTGAAAGTGTGTTTTTATTAGTAAATTATTAAAAGAAAGAAATTATAAATTTTTATTATAATATAAAATGATTTTAAAATTAAATTAAATTCAAATTTGAATACAATAAATAAATGATCGCATTTAAAAAATATTATGAAAAAAGTGAAAATTATTCAAATTTTTTTTTGTATTATATAAAAATTTTGTTTTAAAATGCAATACAAAAAAACTCTTTAATACTTTATGAATGGAATAACCATAATAAAATAATTATTATCTTTTAATCTTTTATAAAATTCTTTTGTTTTATATGATTGGATAATTGCAGAATATTTGGCATACTTTTTTTAAAATATATAAGGTGAGTAAAATAAAGAGAACAAAAAATTAATAATATGTTTTTGTTTAATAAAGAAATCTTTTGATCTTTTATTTTTTGTTGCATTTATACAATCTTCTTCTATTATAAATACATAAACATTTAAATATATTTAATATTTAAAAAAATTTTAAATGAATTTTAAATGAATTTTAAATTTTTTTCTCTCAAGTTGTCTTCTAGATTTCTCCAAAATTTTTCTTCCTATTGCTATTATTATTTTTGTTTTTGTATTCTCTTAGATTGTTCTTTTGATATTCTATAGTTTTTATTGTCCTTTATGGTTTAATAGGGTTGCCAATCAATATTTTCAATTTGATTGACAATATTATTTATTATTGCTTATTTTAAAAATTTGCTCGATAAAGAATTTGTAATGTATGGCATTCCCGCAAATAATTCGCGATATAATTTTCAAATTTGCAATATGAAATTTTGAATTAGTATATGTATTTTAATATCTTTTCTTCCAACCGCCACCGCACCCTATTAAAAACCATTTATTTTGAAATATAATGATTACAACATAAGGATATTGTAATTTTGACAACTTTTATTCTTGTAAAATTCAAAATTATTGGTATTGTATGGTTATAGTATGGTTATTATATAGTATGGTTGACAATATTATTGTATGGCAAGAATATTGTATGTTCATAGTTTTCCAAAACTATTTAATTCGATTTATTGTTTATTATAGTATTTATTTATTGTTGGCGGTATTATACTTATAAATTTTTTAAAAAATTTTCCATTTAAATTTAAAGTACATATACATAAGTAGAAAAATCGAGGCATTCGAGTCTGATCAAATAGAGACGGCGGGAAATTATTTCAAAAGTTGCCTAAAGCCTACATGTACTTAAATCGGGACAAATGGCAACCAACTATAGTTGGCCTACATGACATGTTTTAACAAATTACACATTAAATTTTCTATATTTTAAATTTAGATTTTAATTAATATACTACCGAAAGAAGGTGATTTTATATTCTCTTATTCTCTTATACATATTGTCAATTCCTCGTCAATTCTCCAATACATTTCTGTTTTATGATGAGAGTACAAATGACTCCGTAAACTTTATATGTATAATAACAACTTGTTATATTTTTCAGAAGACTCAAATTCAGCTCAAAAGAGCCAAAAGTTTAACAATTCTTTTCTACATAGCTGATATATAAGATAAAAAAAATTAAAATACTCAGTTTGGATTTTCTCTCATTTTAATTTTAATCTATCTGGAATGAATTTACGCTTAACAATTTTAAATTTGATTTTTTTTTCTCTTTATTTATTTATTTTATTTTTTTTTGTTTTATTCTCAATCTTTTTTAATGTTTTCTATCAAAAACTTGTTATCTCTGAACCAAAATAGTTTAGCTAAAGGGGGTTAAATTCCTTATAATATAAAAAATATTTTTTTTTTTATATTTTATTCAATTTTCCAAATTATATTGTTTTATATATATATATATATATATGCAGAGGTACCTAAATATTTTCGTTTTCATTTTTAAATTCTTGAACAATGATTGTTTGTTTCTTTTCCCGTCCCTTTTAATATTATATTTTGAATTTTTCTCTTTTGAATTTTCATTTTTGGCAGAAAATATAAAAATTGGAAGTTTTTCAGAGATTTCTGAATTTCTTCTTATATACTTGTTCATATTTTTTTTTAGAGAAAATTATTAAAAGATTTTTTCCTATATGGAAAATCTTCTATTTAAATAAGTACAGAAGAAAAAAAATAAAGAGCTGAAGGGGTTTTTTTTCTTATTTTTATTATAATTTAAGTATTTATGGAGTATATTTATATTTTTATAATATTAGATAGACATTAAAAAAAAAAATAATAAAAGTGCATAAGTAGGTCTTTTATTTATAAAATAGTGTGCACATTCTTATATTATACACGTTTAAATATATGTGGCACATTGCACATACATATATGCTTAGATATTTGAAAATATGAAAAATTACATAAAATTTTAAGTATTTTTGAAATAATTTTGAAGTCATTCCATTGCATATAGTATAAGAATTATGTCCAACATAAAAAAAAAAAAAAAAAAAAAAAAACAATTTTAATTTTCCTCAAGAAAGTTTTGTTATAAGCATGTGTGTCGAATGAAGATTTTTTTAATTTGAATGATGATTTATATTTAAATATTTTTAGAGTATATCATAATATGTAAATGTACAAACACATATGAGTATGTACTTGAGTATACTTCACAATTTGTAATGAGAATAATAATTACATTTTGATTACATATTATAATAAACCTGTTACATCTATGCAACAATTTTTAAAAACACATAGAATTCATATAAGTACCTGTAACGAGTATAGTTCATGAACCTCCTTTGGTGCAGTACTCATACTACATATAATTCTTGAGAAATATTGAAAAATCTTCACAATATTCAATTACTATTACTACTTAAGCATATACTTGTAATTACTTACAATAAATTATTGGTCCTTATTAGCGTTATAGTTACTTGAAATTCATTAATTTTGACTTATAAGTATACTAATATTTTCTAAGTATTTATAGATTGAGAAATTTAATAAAAATTAGTGAAATCTAAAATTTTGTTTCTATGAATTGAGTACTTATGTACTCACACAATATCATAATTTCATGTCACTTGTAAAAGTAAGTCATTCTATAATGAACACTAATTTTTTTAGCAATTTTAAAGAAAATTTAAAAATATCCAAAAAATTATTGATTTATTTTATTAAATTATATTTCAAATACTAATTATTTTCGTCTAATAGCTCTTAAGTTATATTTACTGATTACTGAATAATTGATTTTCATATTTTTTAAAGGCATTATTCATTGTATTTTTGAGAACAGTTTGCTGCCTTAATTTGCAAACAGGTATACAATATTATTTATATGAATGTAGTTACGAGTATAACATATGAAAAAAGAGAAAAAAATATTAATATTTGAGATAGTAATTTACATATTACTGTTACTTCTATACTATTCAACAGTAATCATTTATACTTACTATATAACACTATTGTGAGTAATAGTGTTCACACAGTACAAATAGTGTAGCAAGTTCATAGCACAAATTTTAAAAGTATATATTGAAGCATCTGTATTTTCATATGTATGTATGTACATATATTGTATGACATTGTATATGTATATATTAGTCATCACAATTTTTAAATTAGAACAAAAATGTTGAAATATTCAATTTTTTCATTTATATGTATACTAGGTTAAGTACCTTCTTCTTTTAAATTAATTTAAATAATGTCAGCGATCAAAAACTAAAAAAATTTGATAACTAAGTTGTAAGTAATAAAAAAAAAAAATGATTTTTTTTTCTAAAAATTTTGTCTGCATTTTGTATTTGAAAAAGGAAAATGTTATATATATTTTTTGTTTATTTTATTTATTTATATATGAATTAATTTTAAAATGGTCATTTGCGTTGTACCCTTAAAATAATACTGTTATAATAGGAATAAAATCGTGCACTATCATATATAAAGTAGATAGTGCATGATTTTATTTGTTTTTTTCGCAAAGTTAGTCTAAATGACTTGAATAATACTTATGGGTTTTGTAAAATTATTAGTGCTTTATAGGTTTTATATAAACGAATTTAATTTGTTGACGGAAACTGTAATATATTAGACAAAACACGATGCAATATTTTCTATTATCGCAATTTTGGAATAATCATCTTAGTAAAATTAAAAATCTCAAAAGTAATTTAAATATTTAAAAAATTTGTTTAAAATTAGTATATATAAATAAAGTAATAAGCAACTCCTTCCCATATTATAAACCCATACTCTAATATTTTGCTTAAAATTCGAATTTAAATCTTTCGAATTATAATATTTTAAAGTGTTGTTATAGATCCCATACGTTCATCCCATTATCTTCATTATTATGAATCTCATATGTGTAAAAAAAACTAGCAAAATTTCAGTTTAAGACTTCGAACATTTGAATATTCGAACATGTGAAATGTTGCAGTACAATTCCAAGGGTGTCACAAATATTCAAAATTTAGTTACTTAATTAGTTTCAAAATAGAACTCTTATTTTTAAAAATACCACGATTTTCAAAGTATATTCTTGATAAAATCATCTAGAATTCAAAATTGAAGCGGCAACTGTTATACACACAAACACATCAACAAAATGGATAAATTGAAATTAATATGCATATTTTATTTATTTTTTTCAATTTAACTTTAAAAATATTTTTAAAATAATCCAAATCAAATAAATGCTAAATAAACGTAATAGAATCAACCTTGTATCAACTTACATACGAGTACTTATAAATTAAATTGAAAATTTTTTTTTTTGAAATTTTTTTTTTTGTTATATTTTAAAATATTTCACACGTTATGCCCAGTTTAAAATTATGTAGCGTTTTATAATAATATAATTTTTCATATACAAATGTACGAGTATATAAGTTTTACTTACTAATTCGTGCACAATATTATACTTGTAAATTCAATGGCCTTATTTCAGGAACAAGGTTAAATAAATTTGTACAATATTTGAAAAATGAAGACTTTCTCAAAGCTTATAGAAATATTAAAATTTCAATGATTTTTTTTTAATAATGCTTTTATTAGTAAGGTGTTAATTATTTAAATATAACAAGTACCGATTGATCAAATAGGTACTTACATATAGAAGAATAGAAAGTCTTGTTAATTTGCGAAGGAATGTTAAAAGTAGAAAAAAAAATAATACAAAAGTAATTTTATAAAAAAAATTTAATATGACCAGAACATTTAATATGAGCCGACCGCATTGTTAAAGTGTTCCATAATATTATAAAACTCTTCTTATTTAAACATTTATTTCAAATCCTATGAAAGGTGGTGACTAATCTTAAGTTAATATGTACTTAAACTAATGTATAATTTGTTCTTAGTGGAGTTTCATTTTCTTAGATAAGGTTTCAAAACTCA